TTTACGTCTATTACAAAAATTCCTTTCATCTACTAAAAATAATGAAACCTAAGGTATTCAAATCTGATAAAACTAGAAAGAATCATTAACAGCTTGATTCGCTAATAAAAAATTGAATAAAGATCGTTGCGCCTACGATTAATCTCAATGCGTGTTCACAAATTAGCTGTCGGAATGAAAATGAGATTCATCGTCTCGCTGTCTAACGTGCGTTTCATTCGGCCGCGCTAAAGTTTTTGCGCGTTATCATACGCACGGCCGCTTATCTAAACGGGCAATCGGCGCAAGGAGATCCTTCGATCTATTAATCTCGACGATCAACGCGTTGAATTGAATGCGTTCATTGATTCAAATCGACGCGACGAGCAAAAGAGAAAGGGGGCCCGCTTTGGAGTTCAATGTCTAATTCGACGACGGCGAAAGAGCTAGCGTTTGCCAGGCAGCCGCGCGTGTATATACATACGTGCATACGTATATGCCTGAATCGATTCATTCTCGCGAGAAAGAAATCGCGGGGTATCCGATGTCCGATATGATAAGATCACGCACGTACTCGTGTACCCGAGTGGCTTTAAACGCTTGTACTTTGTACGCTTGTGTGTATCGATATGCTCGCCACCTTGAATGGAGAGATAAGAAATAGTTGCTCACCTAGCCGAGCTGCTTGAAAATAACTGATATACACTGAGCAGCTCTGGCCATTTAAATAAACACACGTGCTTGTAGTATTTGCATTTGGAATTTGCTTCCGTTCATAAACGTGAGTTTATCCGTAACCTTGCGACGAAATTGGCCAGGGAGCAGCGCTGCTCTCGGAACGTTGTTATTATTCGGGATTTTTACGTGTTTCTGGGGAGACCGTAAAAACACACGTGATGCACGCGAAGCATGCGAAAACGTATGAAATATTCAAGATACAGCGCCCATTATGATGCTTGATAATAGTTGTAATTTTTGCACACGAGAAACTGAACGATGAGAGAAGACATTTTCTTACTTATAATATTTGTAATTCATGGTAAATTATTTTATATAGTATATTATTTGTAATTTATAGTTTATAATAGTTGTCTAATTTATATTAAAGTACATTATGTTACAGTTGTGTTGTGTAACTACATTATAATTATATTGTATACAAGTGTGTACAATGTAGTATTATTATGATATATATGACACGGTATTGTTATAATTTTCAATATTTTTTATTGTTGCATTAGAAACTACTAAAATTTTGAGCCTCTGAGACTTTATACACTTTCTGACAGAGATTAATAATAAAAAGAATAACGTACAAATTAAAAATCCCAAAATCTCAAACTGTGTACTAGTATATAGTATCTAGTATATTAATATATAGTAATTATATCCAGTGTATCAATATTAGTATATAGTAGTACTAGTATATAGTATGTAGTATATTAGTATATAGTAATAAGTAAGTACTGTGTACTAATAAGTATAGTACTGTGTACTAGTATATTAGTATATAGTAATAAGTAAATAATACTGTGTACTAGTATATAGTATGTAGTATATTAGTATATAATAATTATATCCAGTGTATCAGTATTAGTATATTATATCCAACATCAATCAGAAGTCGATTTAATGAAACAAACCCTATATAAAAATATTCAAAATATTCAATAGGTCTAGATTTATACGAAAATATGATTCTGCACAAGAATCCGCGATTTATTAAATAAAAGAATTTAGAAGGTCGTAATTTCGTGTTGCCTGATTTGAACGATAATATTGTTACAGAGGCTTAATACGCGAGGTTTTAATTAAGAAACCACGCTCCCGTCGCAATTAATGTGCTCGTTATAATTAATTGAATATACATTTACTACGAAGTATCGTTGAGATCATTAAAATAGAATCCATGCCTGTCCAAATATATGTACGCCAATCATTTGACCAGCAATGAAATTTCATTCCTCCACTGTTCTTCTTCCTAGAACACCGAAAATTCAATGCACACGTATCGATTCTCGTAATCCTACGATTCTTGGCAACACACGCCCGTAGTTATTAATCGAGCGATCCGGTCGTACGATAAAGCAGCACCGGAGACGATTCCCCAGCGCGAAAATATTCGAATGAACGATTTCAATCCCCCCACGGCCACGGCTGATCGACGCATTCTCTCCCACGTACATACACCACGATGCTTTCCCTGTGGCACCTCCAAGTGCTGTGCTGCCTTCCCGGAAATCCGCGATTTGTTCCTGCTCGCGGAACGACGCCAGGGGATTTGCCAGAACTACGAATCACTCGGCCGTGATTCGTACGAAACGCCGCGGATAGCAAATTGAAAGAAATATATTCGTTTCCGCGTAAACATCACATTCTGCTTTGCGCGTGCTTCGTCGATATTCCTTTTTTTCTTTTTCTTTTTTTTTTTTTTTTTTTTTCTTCTTTTTTGAACTCGCCCGAAGACTCGCGTTTTATTCAGTGACAATCGATGTCGGGCGGTTATTGCATCGTAGAGTTAGAAACGAAACGATCGAACGATGGGGAATTTCAGTTGACGTTCGAAGATTTGTTCTTGGCGATTCTTTTCGGCCGCATTTAAACAGTTTCAAGAAAGGGGAATATTCTGTAAAGGGAACATTGGACGACAGAAGATACGTTTCGTTAATTTTAATGTTTTATCGCGTGTTGCAATTGTTGTACTTGTTATCGCAACTTTTCAACTATTGTGAAATATTATAATTATTATGGGTATTTCGTGTGTTGCGTATTACAAGTATTATCATAGCCATTGTAACCAGATTACGAACCATTATGAAATTTTACATTTTTATGAACTGAGCAGAAATTTATTTTCACTACTAAATATTGACGTACCTTTGCACTCTGTGTTTTGCACTTTTGCGTCACTAAGTCGCTCAGAGATTGCATGAAAATCCAACATTTTAAGTTGCAGCAGCTACATATTAAAATTATAACTACATCAAGTATTAAATGTCTTGTATAATTTCGTATTTCTAAATCCCCCACCTACACAACGTACAACTATAACGCAATAACGTTACAACAAGCATTGTATTTCGGATATTTCACGCTTATTATCATCTCGTGTTCCATATGTACAAATTAAATTTCCCACAAACGCGCAAAGATCCACGCATCCATCATTCAACGCGCCACCAACCGTAAAGCCAAAGGTACAAAGTCACGAGCAACGTTACCATTCGCCAGAAAAAAACGATAAATCTTCGTCGCCGTTCCGTTTGAAACCGCAAGAGGATTTTATGTAACAGCGAGAACGATGTGTAAAAAACAAAAAAAAAAAAAAAAGAAATACAAAAAGTTTCCTCGTCGCTTATTAACATCGTTAACCGGTACGACACGTGGGTGGAAAGAAGAGGAAACGAAAGCACAGTTAATTAGCGGCGTTAAATCACGGGTGATTAATAGAAAGAGAGAGATAGAGGTGTGTCGTCGAAACTTGGCACGGTTTCGCGGGCCAAAGAAGGTCGTAGTCTGAATTTCATCCGCGGCACCGTCACGGTCCGACGATCCATTAGTCATGTCAGCGACGACAAAACTCGCGCGAGCTAAATAGCCGGTACACCTTGGCCCCGCGCGAAACCTGCAATCCACTGGCCGCCGCAGAAGGACGCGAAAACTCGAGCATTGAAGTCTCCGTGATCTACGCGCCGCGAGAACCGTTTTGTCCTGCCTTATTTCAAGTGAAATCAGACTTTATATTCGCTTTCATCGAATAATAACGCTTTTTTCTATTTTTCTTTTTTTTTTTTTTTTTGAGAAAAAATTTTGGAATTTCGACGCTTAATTCATTCAATAAGTAATTTATGGCTCGAACAGTTATCAAACTTACAGAGAAAGTGACAAAGGAGAAGATACTCCATATGGTAAGGTGCCCAAATTTCGTTTACCAGACTTTTTTTTCCATGATTTTGAAAGAAATTGACGCGAAGCTCAGTACGAAAACGAAACTTTGCAATCAGTTTTTTAATAGGAATAAAAAGATATACGTGTAGAATGATGCATTTCTTTCAGTTGTGTTTTCAATTTTGTTGCTTGTTGCTTCATAGTTTATAAACTCAAACGGGGAAGAAAACACGTTTCTAATATTGATCCTAGGATCAAATTTAACTTTTTAATAATTGTAATTGGTAATTTAATTTTTTAACTTTAGAATATAAAGATAAAAGCTGAGAAATACAATTTCAAACAATGTACTATTTGTTAACCTCGAGTAACAAATTTTGATAATATTGAAACAGTAATGAACTAAATTGAATAAACAGTATTAGATTAATAATTAAAATAATTGATTGAGATTTGTAAAAAAAATATACGTAACGTGAGAAATAAAAAAAAGAAAAATACAAAGTAAAAAGAAGTATAAAGAAGCCTAAACAGTTACAGAGACTGGACCCTAAAGGATTCAAATTCATCTGACTTTTACTACCAGCACACTTGTTGCACCGTTTTTTTACTATAAATTCCAATTGCTACTAACAGAGAGATTAGGGATGAAATTAGATAAAGGGGGGCGAAATTTGGGACCTTTACTCTCTAGCCAAACAAAGTATTTTACATATACAACAACTAGCAATACCAATCAAACACAGCGTGTACCATACCCGGTATACACCAACTTCCTCTATTCATGCTAATGAAAACAACGCACATTATATCAAAGTCTCGGACCCCATTACATTTCCCAACTGACAAAGAAAAGCGAGAGGGTCAAAAAGAAAAAAAAATGGAGGGGAGGTGTCTCTCGAGAAACTTCGAATAAAAAGGAATAAAAAAACCACGCCGTTTTATCACTCTGTTCATCCACGTGCGATCGCGTTCAGCGTGGAACAACGAGCGATCTCTTTCAAACGAAATGAATATGAAAAAAAAAAGAAAAAGAGAGAGAGAGAGAGAAAGAAGGAAAAGAAAAGAAAAAAAGAGAGGAAAGAAACGTGGGTTCGCCGATCGTTTCGCGGTCGATGAAATAAGGTGTTTACCTGTAAGTGTGGAGTTGTTAATGGTGTTGTTTGCCGTGGAAATGGCCGATTGGCTGGTGACAGGTGTGCCAACGGTGGTGGCCGTGGTTGTCGAGGAGTTATTTGGCGAGAGGGCCGCGTTGGCCGCCTGTGCCTGTGCCTGGGCCTGGGCCTGAGCCTGAGCCTGCTGTTGAAGATTATAATTCCACGCGAGCAGCATCAGCTTCAGCTTATCCGCGTCTTTCATGAGCGCGCCTGCCGAAATTAAAAGTGCCAATTGGTTTCAGGGCATGATTAACACGGTGAGTTTGGTGCCGATGAGTTTTTCGGGGGTGAGAGTCGGAGAGATTTCATTCGCGATCGCTTCTGGTTGTGCGACTTACGTGTACAACACACATGTATGTATATATGGGGTGGGTTTGGTCGTGACGTTTGGTTGTGCTTGAGCGATCGAGATCGTGGAACGTTTCCTTTTCTTTTTTTATTTTTATTTTTTTTTTTTTTTTTTTTTTTACGATCGTTCGACGCTTGTTGCTGGAGAATTTTGCATGTTACAGCGACTTTCACTCGACGACTTCATCTACGAGTGAGATTTGAGAAAAATATGATTTGTTCCTGGAGCGTTTTGTGGTGGTTTTCATGAAGGAATATTTGTGAGAGCCGCGATATACAATATCTAAAGATTACTCGCATACGTAAGTTAATCCGTACTTAGAATTTATAAAAACTCTTATGCAGTAAATATAGTTGGAGAGTGTATGAGACATTCTTTTAATATACGTTTTTCATTAATGAATAAGAATCGTATGTGCCAGTTGATTTAATACAGAAGGCGATCTGTAGAAAATTATATAAAACCAACTATGAATGAATAAAAAAGTAATTATGAAATGACGGATACTTTTCTAGATGTAAACATGTATTTTTATTAATGGACGATAACGTTGCAAATAGATAGATAGAATATCTGTCGTACGGTCAACACTGTTCAAAGAGCCAGATTAAAAATTTTAACAGCAATGAAGCTTCTCAATGGATCACTTTCAAAATAACCGAGCTAACGATCGCGTAAAATGATAACTCCTTCGTTTCGTGTATTCTTGATAATGGCTATCGACAGTGGCGCGTGCTTGTTAGAAATATTTGTTTCGCAATCTCTATTCAAATTTATATTATTAATACAAATTACTTCTTATCGTTAACATAAATTACTTGTTCGTGGTATCGTGAAATATGCGTCGAACGTTCAACCACTTAATTTCGATTTTGTGCTCAAACTTCGAAGAAAAACTGCTTTTTCACGATAATGAACTAATGCTGCGGATTTTTATAAATTTGTAGCACAAGTACTTATCACCGACTGACGATTCAAATAACATAAATTTCGTCGATCGTCGAGAAATCTTTGGAAACTAAAAATGCAAATGATCGTTAAATGACACTATCGTTGATAAAATACAGTGTAATATACTTTGAAAAGAAAATTAAACGTTATCGTGTATAGTATATTTGTCGACAATATAATATGCAAAAGCATACAAAATACCCAAACACAGTGCTCGTTGTAACATTCAACGTATAAAATAAACAATGCTTGGATGCAACATAACACCTTGCAGAAACGTTGCTGAGAAATACATTTGCAAAGATAAGAATAAATAAACAAAACGTTGAAAATGTAGATATGTACCGCTCGTTCTAACGTCCGATGAAATAAATATTAGTTTCATAGTTGTGTGGAAGATTAACCGATCTCGCAAGACTCGTACTCGCGAAATTTTGCTCGTCAATTAATACAAATGTGTCAAGTGACGGGAATCCGATGAGAAACGAAGGTGTTAAGCATCAGACAGAGTCTTTTCTCGCGCGTGAATTCCTTAGTGGCGTCTACGTCGATTCGTTTCTCGGTCGATCGACGCCCCCTCCATCCCCCATTCGAACGGTTTCCACGATGCAACAGGTCCAACCATCGAAATTCTCCGGCATTCGACGAATTCTCCAGCTCATTCGCGCGAAAATGCAGCTACGTTAACTGTTTCGTCACCGATCGCGCACCGGCTGCCGCGTTTTCAGGATTTTCATTCGATCGCGTGTCAACAGGTACACACACACACACACACGTACGTACATGTGCGAACGTTCGTTTTGAATTCTGAACAAAGAATTGCGCGTACTGTTTGGACGAACAGGCCGTTTCGTGGAATATTTTTGCGTACTGTAACAATGCGTACGATTCCGAACAATTTCACGCGTGACTTTTCTGTTTCTCCCTTTTCTCTCTCTCTTTTTTTTTTTATTTTCTCCTTCTTTTTTTAATTGAAATCGGGTTGGTACGCGCAGATGGTTGTCAGTGATTTCGAATATTTGGACGGGAAACGTGGGAAATTTTAATACGAGAGTTTAGATGAGTGACTTTAGAATAAAACTTGAATGTGAACTTCAAACATTGTCTAATCTAAAAAGAAATTTTACGTATATAGAGCGTTGAATTAAAAACAATTTACAATTGGTACGTTGAAAAACTTGATACTCTGTTGAATATTGCATTTTTTACAATATTAATGATAGTAATCTGTTTCGATTTGTCATTGCAATCCTGTTTTCGAAAAACATGGCGTATTTTCTCTCTTCTCTCCATCACTGTATATAATCGGAAAATTTGAGTTTGACTGCTTACCACTTCACTATTACAAAAGAGTTTTATTTATGATTAAATGCTCTACTTGTAACTAAGCTGCAGATTTTCATGTAAATTGAAATTTTCTACGAACGCAGTTAAAGAAAATGGCAGAGATTAGTTTCACTCATTAAATATTAATTAATTACAACGAGTGTCACACTTTGGATATTTCATATATCATATGCATAGTTGTTTCATTCATAATATCAATTAAATATATAAATGTATAAATATATAATTTTGAAAAACTAATTGTTTTATCGTGAATCATATGATGTCATAAAACTGTTAAAATAATCCGACGGTGAGTATATTATATTATATTATATTATAGTATAGTATAGTATATTATATTATAGTATGTTATATTTAAAAGTAAATGAAATTGGTGGATCAACACGAAGGCCAGAGTTCATTATATACATACGTAAATATTTTTCCAAATAAAAAAATCACTATTTCTTTAAAAGAAAAAAAAAAAGGAAAAAGTGAAACAAAATAAGAAAATAAAGAAATGCCTTAGATAATTTTTCTGACGAGGAGTCTTAAAAATATTAAACCTTCACGTGTGTGCTGCAGACAGAGAAAGAGAAACACTAGAGGAACATGGCAAAAGTGTGACAGCGAGCTCGTCGAGTGTCAATTAAAACCTCATGCCCAATGAGTACGAGCGGCCGTCTCGATCGTGCACACGCTCAATTATCGATCCCTCAATTATCGTCCCGTACGACTGAAGATTCTCGTATACGCGCGAAGACAAGGTTGCCCCGCAACAAGTTGAAAATCGAGAGAGATTCTCTCGCTGGAGAATTTTTGGCCGTAGCCAGGCCGAGTCAACCGTGAAATTACTGCGCTTCGATGGCTCAGCCCCCATTAACAATCGATCCGCGTGTCGAGTTTTAGATACTGATTGTGAGCAGTGAACGTGTTGAGCAATGAACCTTGGCAGAATTTTAACGATGAATTAGGGATTGCCATGATTTGCAGATCAGCCCAACCTCGATGATTGATTCGAATCTTCTCTCATTTGAAATCTTTTGTAAAGTCAGGAATTTTCATCGTAAAAATCTCCACAGCGCGAAGTATAAACTTCTGGATTCGAAAGAAATTCGAAATTTATTTTTACGTAAATACATATAGTTCTGATTCTTTTCGTATAAAATATACGTTTTAATTTAATATTAAAATTAATTAGAAATCAATTAATTAGAAGTAAAATTTTTCTGAGAGACAAGAATTTTTAAATATGCAATTAATTCAAATTGTTTAATGCCATGGAAGAATAATAATATTACGAATATAATATTTTATGAATGGATGAAACTTATTACTTGAGTAACCATGATTACTCGAAGACTTCTGTTACTCGTTATCTTCTTTTCTGAATCTTAATCATTCGGTCAATCATTGTTTCTGGGAAATTTCTTGAAATTTGACGTGTTTATCTTTATCTAGGTGTGAAATCGCTTCATTCTGAGAACGAAATGGGAAATATTTAAATGAAATCGATATGTATGTATATCTACGAATAAAACGTAATATCTTTTGTGTTTAAACGGATTAAGCTCGAACACGTTAACCGGTGCAAAACTGACTAAACAGGAAATCCATACTTCGTGTATTAAATATACATCGTGCCCTGTAATTATAATAAAATACCTTTGCAAATGTTTCAAATGCAATTACGTTTAATTAACCAACGTCAAATGAAATTAAATACAATTAATCTCACTCTTCTCGGCGTTCCCCGCTCCTTCTGTTAAAGATCATTGAGAAATGTGTGCAGAAACGTGATCGAATACAATTATGCGCAAACGATGCTCCAAATAAAATTGCATAAAATCGATCGATCGGCAAACTTCTCTTCAACGTGTGGAAAAATTTCTAACTTCATCTTGTAATACAGTGCCTGCTATTATTTTCTTCTTTTCTATCGATTACATTTGTTCATACGTGATATTTTTAAAAGTAACGTTGGAAATAAATGAGACGATACGAAATTTTGAGCAGAATTTTGAAAATTTCATATAAGAACATGCCACTTAAAGATTCGTAATTTCAAAATCCTTTATTGTATACGTATGTACATTTAGGATAAATTTTCAAAAGGAATTATCGATATTCGATCATTAATTCTTAAATTTCAAGAAACTGTAAGAATACGAGATGGCATGTTTAAAATTCCCCACTTTTCAGTAAATTTTTTATTTTAAAAAATGAATTGAGAACTTTTGAAAGAACTTATCTTCGATGCATGTGTGATAAACTACTTTCTACACTTCTGACGAGTTAATTTTCCGAGTTAATCTTCAAATCAATAAAAATTTTCTCACCGGAATTAAATTAGCCTTGAAAGTTGCACGCAAATTTCGCATCAACTCAAGTTGTTTTCATCATCTTATTTACTGCTTACGTCGCTTTTAAAAAAAAATTATGAAATCTACACGTATCCTTTCTTAATCATTTATATTTCTAACGAATGAATTTTCAATGAATTCAATGAATGAAATGGTGAAGAAGCAGCGTCGTCCAATGTAATTTCATTCAATCACGCAGAACTATTATCTTCTATCGC